AAATGATCAAGTAGCTGCTGTTTTAAGCCTCTATGTTTAGAGAGGTTTGTTACTCAGCAATAGATCACCAGAAGTGGAATCAGACTTTGCCTTCACTCCCCACAGCAAAACGGAACCCAGGCTGTGAACTTGCACATTATTTTACCAAACACTCATGGATAACCAAATGGTTTGCCTACACGGAAGAGCAATACAGCTGCCCTTGAACCTTGATACAACAAACATTCTCTTTCTTGTTTCCTTAATCTACTCCCTCCTTTTGTTCTTTTTCCTTCACCTCCAAATGTTCTCAAATTATCTTTTCCTTAAACAAAACAAAATCTAACCTTGACCTATGAAGGGAAGTGTTGCTATCTTCTTTCTCCTTTATTATTGTTGTCAAAGAGTTTCCTACATTTCCTATCTGTGTGGTATATTAAAGATAGTTGCAAATTCTATAACACTCCTTCCATGGAGAAATGGGGACTAATCACCTCCCCCCCCGCCCCCCCAGCCCCAATTCCTCGACTCTGGACTGGCCTTAGTGTTTGCTTAACCAGTAGACTATGGTGGAAGTGCTGGGACTTTTGAGTCGAGGTCATACAAAGTTTTGCAGCTTCCTTCTCAGTGTCTTGGAACACTTGCTCTGGGGAAATCCAGCTGCCAGAAAAGAAGCTCAGCTACTTATTCTGAGACTCCCATACTATGAGGAAGCCAACCCCAGCCTCTCAACTATTTGAGTCTTCCCAGTTAAGGCCCCAGACACTTGTGAATCAGAGAAGTATCATCTCTGCTGAACTCACCCCAAATTACAGATTTGAGCAAAATAAATAAGTGTACTTGTTTCAGCCACTAAGTTTTGGGACAGTTTGAGACAGCAATACATTACCAAAATACTCTGTAACTTGCTTCCTGCGAAGACAAGAATAAGTCTTATGAGGTAAACTTAGATTAAGAATGGCGATATACAATGGACACAAGACACTGGGGGGGGGGGGGGGGGTAAGGAAGGCCGGGGGAAGGTCAATTGGGAGAAAAAAAAGGAGACATATGTACTACTATCTTTAATACTTTAAACAATAAAATAAAATTTTAAAAAAGAATGGCGATATAATTATGTATACATTTTTATGCCCTAACCGGTTTGGCTCAGTGGATAGAGCATCGGCCTGCGGACTTAAGGGTCCTGGGTTCGATTCCGGTCAAGGGCATGTACCTTGGTTGCGGGCACAACCCCAGTGGGGAGTGTGCAGGAGGCAGCTGATCGATGTTTCTCTCTCATCAATGTTTCTAACTCTCTATCCCTCTCCCTTCCTCTCTGTAAAAAATCAATAAAATATATTTAAAATTAATTATGTATACATTTTTAATGTACAACTAGTCATATATATATATATATATATATATATATATATATATATAATATGAAGTGGGTTCTGATCTTATTGGCCAGTTGCTCCTCATGGAAGAAGTCACTGCAGCTCCAGAAGTTATTTCTGTTGGACTCCTCATGCCTTATCACTAAGGTTTTGTGGCTTTTCTACCTGGAATTCCATGCCACCTTCTTCTCTACTAGTCCTTATCGAGGTGGCCACTTCCAGGTCCTAGGAACTTTAATGCCAATGGCAAAGAATTCCTAGCCTTCGATCTGGAACTGCTCTAAGTCCAGACTCTAAATAAGAGTCCTCACCAACTGCATGGCCAAGGAGGTTTGCATGCACTATGATAATTTGAAAGTACCTCTGCCAGTGTGTGTGTGTGTGTGTGTGTGTGTGTGTGTGTGTGTGTGTGTTTTATAATCTTCAAGGATGTGTCTTTATTTATTTTACATATAGAGAGAGAAACACTGATCAGTTGCCACCCACACGCGCCCCAACTGGGGATTGAACCTGAACCTAGGTATGTCCCCTGACTGGAAATTCAACCCAAAACCTTTTTAATGTACAGGACGACGCTCCAACCAACTGAGTCACAGGGCTGTGTGTGTGTGTGTGTGTGTGTGTGTGTGTGTGTGTGTACTCAAGAAAAGCATTCTCTCTGTGAGGCCCTTTTGCTCTCTCTGATTCCATGTAATCATTTTTTATATCTTTGCTTGCATCATCTCAAGGTCATGGACATGGATGGGTTTTATAATCCTCGGTTTTTACTCATGCAGTGTCTTAGGTCAGTTTCTCTAGAAGCAGAGCCTGACACAGGGTTTGAGTGCATACTTTATTGGGCATGCTCTCAGGAGACAGGCAATGAAGAAAGCAGGACAGAGCAGGAAAGGAAGCTAAGCAAGGATGTGGCCTTATCTGGAGTTTAGCTTCAGCCTGATCCTATGGAGAGCCCTGGATCATGAATTGTACCATGGAGTTGATCTCACCTTGAAGCAAAAAGGCCAGCGTTTTGTACACATATATCATTAGTAGCCAACACTCAGCAGTAAAAAGGATTCGGTAAAAGAAATTTAGGAGAGGAATCAGTAGTCTGCTATACAACAAATATTTATTGAGCAATAGAGAGCAAAGATGAATACTACCCTGGTAAAAACCTATCTGATCAGCTGTCTAACCTTTCCTAACCATCAACAGATCTTATACTTTTAGTCTACGTAGAACAAAGCAATTTCCTGATTGCAGCTGTCAGGTTCTCACCTACCCTATATTGTCTGTGAAAAAGGCTGATCCTGAAAGTTTGAAACAAACACAACTCAGAGGATTCTAGACAGCAATGGAGCTCCACTGGGTAGCAGCTCCCATGTGAGATGTAAGTCACCTTACAAACATATGATCCTAATAGTTCTTGGCAGGCTCTATAGCAGTGGTTCTCAACCTTCCTAATGCCGTGACCCTTTAATACAGTTCCTCATGTTGTGGTGACCCCCAACCATAAAATTATTTTCATTGCTTCTTCATAACTGTAATTTTGCTACTGTTATGAATGGTAATGTAAATATCTGATATGCAGGATGTATTTTCATTGTTACAAATTGGACATAATTAAAGCATAGTGATTAATCACAAAAATAATATGTAATTATATATGTGTTTTCCAATGGTCTTAGGCGACCCCTGTGAAAGGGTCGTTCGACCCCCAAAGGGGTCGCGACCCACAGGTTGAGAACCGCTGCTCTACAGGAACGTGCTTAGGAGATCCTTGCCCTGGGAGCACAGGGTTAGTCCCCTGAGTTGTTGGCAGAGCTCCTGGTGGCCTCCATAGACAAGCCCCACAAAAACAGGAAGTAGCCTTTATATCAGCTCAAGGGACAAGACCTTGGGAAGAGATCACCAATTTAAAGGCAGAGCACTTGCCCTAGCTGGTTTGACCCAGTGGATAGGGTGTTGGCCTGTGGACTGAAGGGTCCTGGGTTTAATTCAGGTCAAGGGCATGTACCTGGGTTGCAGGCCCTGGTTGGGGTGTGCGCATGTGAGAGGCAGCCAATATTACACATACAAGAGACTTATTGGGGAAATGTCTATGAATGATAAAGGGGAAGGAAGCAGAAAAAGGCAGGGAGAGGATAGAGACTGGAATAAAAATTGACAGCTGTGAAGAAAAGGGGGAGGAAAGATTGGTTAAGAAGAGTCGCAAACTACAGTATAGCTCCAAGAAAGGCTTGTCCAGGCCAATGAGGAGGACTGGAACCAAAGTTGTCAGTTGGAGTAGCCTTTCATCTCACAGGAATGAGCCTGCATTAGTGCAAATGTGGTGGTAGAGCCACAGGGATAGCAGATCATCTGCCAGTCAATTCAATGCCCCACAGCAAGAGACCAGAATGATGCATTTTCATGGCTACTATACCTGGCAATATTCCTTTCCACCACCTCCCTGGAGATGAATGGGATGGCTTCTCAGTCAGTGCCCCCTCTAGACATCTTACCTTTCACAAGTTAGATGCACAGCCCTGGCTTGGCTTATTTGTTTATACTGAATAAGCCCCAGGTTTCTTGGGTAATTCACTGGAAAAGAAAGAGGGATTCAAGGGGAAAACACTGGATTTCCTCCTATTAAGGACAGATCAGTGTTCTAATTTTTGTTGTTCCTGTTGTTAATCCTCACCAGAGGATATTTTTTTTCCATTGCTTTTCAGAGAGAGTGGAAGGAAGGGATTGGAGGGAGGGACACACACACACACACACACACACACACACACACACACACACACACATCCACTGGTTGCCTCCTGCACGCACCCGACCCAAGGGTGGGGAGTGAACCTGCCACCTTTCAGTGAAGGGAAGGGATGGGATGGGCAGGGGTGATGCTCTAACCACTGAGCCACCAGCCAGGGCAGTGTGTTCTAATTATTTATTAAAGAAATAGGAATTGACCATACTATATCCCAAGTAATGAGTTTGTACGTTACTGATTATATAAGAAAAGAAAGTCTGAAATAGAAGCTAGAAAAGACTTTATAATTCAAGTTATAGTTAGCTATTGAACTAAAAGCAATGTGGT